ATCGTCCATGTAATTTGTTTTTGTTACACATTTTGTCGTTAATCAACTTAAATCGATCGATATATCCTTATAGACTATTTTATTTATTTTTGACTTATTGAAAGAAATTATATATATATATATATATATATATATATATATATATATATATATATATATATATATATATATATATATATATATATATATATATATATATATATATATATGAAAATGTGAATATACATTACAGTCTCACTTGAGCTTAAGTACTAAACCTTATTAAAATATGTTGGTTTACTATATAAAGATTGCGGTTAGAGTATTCACGATTAACAATTGAAGATGTAGATTCAAGATCTACGCAATAGTTTTAATAAGGTTGCAAGAATATTGATTACCTTAGATCTTCATTACAGTGGAAAAAAATAATGTTTATTGGGCTGAATTAATAAACGATAATGGAGGAAAGAAAATAGAGATGATAAAACAATAATGAAGGAAAAAAATATTGTCGATGATGATATATATTACAAGTGAAAACCAAATCGGGTATATTTACTAAGTTAAAACAACATATTTTATAGGTTTATTACCTAAGCTTAAGTGTGGTTGTAATGTATATTATCTATCCCCATATATATATATATATATCCTACCCACACCACATGACTTACAACTTCTGGTATCCACCACCACCACTACCGCCAGAGCCATTACTAATAACCGGAGCTAAACCCTCATACATTTATATTACCTTGATCCTGCATCTTGCTCCTCCATTACCATCTCATCACCGTCGATGAGACCTCCTGTGAAACCCAAGGTCTGCCACAATTAACGCTTCCCATGAAGCCATCAAAGGAAAGGTGGAACAACTCAATTCAAATCCCCTTCACTAGTGTTTTCTTCATCAACATTCGATTTGGGTTTTCTTTAAGTATACTCAAATCGAAAATCTCTTCGTCGCCACTGTCTTGCTTTAATTTGAAGAACCCTAGACCATACCTAGACGACAGATGTCACAACTGACAAAAATTAGATTAAGATGTGAACACCTTTATTAGGTCATAGTGGGCCCAAAACTCCATCCCAACAATTTTTACGGCTAAAACACTCTTAATGGACCGAACCCTTCTTATTGGGTCCTAGTGGGCTAATAAGCCCTCAATTTAGTTCTTTGGGCCATAAGACATTCTTATTGGGCCTTTTTGGGCCGAAAACATATACTAAGACTTCTTTATTGGGCCTTATTGGGCCGATAACCTCTTCACTTAGCCTTATTGGGCTGAAAACCTTCATGAGTCCTATTGGGTCGAGAACACTTCTTTTGGGCCTTCCTTTGGGCCAAAAACCCTATAAGGTTTGGCTAGGATTTTTGTAAACAAAAAAAAGGAAGAAATAGGGAAAATGAGTGCCACCTCATTTTTGCCCAACATACATCCATGTTTATATCCAACAAGTTTCCATAAACTTCTTATCACTCTCTTCATAAGTCAAACCCTCCATCCTCCCTCCTCTAAATTCGGCCAAGCTCCCCCAAAACCTCACCAAAAGATCATTTTTCACTCCATTATACTCTCAATTCTCCCTTGTTTATCTCAAGCATTTTCCTCCTTATCCTCTCAAGCAATCTCGAGTTTTTCATCATAAAGGAGGGATTTCTAAGATCCTAGGTAAGTCCATAATAAACTCCACTGTTTTATTTCAAGTCTTTACAAATACAACTCTAAATTTCGTGATTATGCTCTTAGAACACCAAAACTACATAAATATCATCAAGAACTCAAGATAGGTTCAAAGATTCTTTTTCTTCTTCATCTACATCTCAAAACCCCCCAACGTGAGTTCAAACCCCCTTGTTTTCGGTTTTATAATGTTTTTGGGGGAGAATACAAGTGCTTTTGTGTTATATCTATGTATATATGCATGTTTATGTGTTTAACTTTTAGATCTTTACTTGAAAATGAAGTTTATCACTTGGATCTTCATATAAACCTTGAGAAAAGTATGTGTCATCGCATATAATAATTGTAAACTTGTAGATATGGGATTTATCCACATAAACAAGCAAAAACAAGTGTTGTGAACAAACTTAGATAAATTAAACTAAAAAATCAGGCCTTGACAGAAAAGCTTTAGTCCAATCTCAAACTTTTTTGACCTCCTTAATGGCAATATTTTTCAAAACTGTTTTACATGAAAAAGTTCAGGTTATTACCTTTAAAATGACTACTCTCACGTTTTCATACGATTTTTCTACAATTTTTGGCGAATTTTACAAAACTGTCTGTCAGATTTGAAATAATTTCGGACCAGCCTGTGAAAGTGAGAAATTTCACACTTGTTAGAGGACATTAAAAATTATGAACAAAGTAGCAAAATTTCCAAACTTCCAAAATTTACGGATCCAAATTTCGACTTGCGGTGATTTTTCTACAAATTTTCCAACAACTAGGTCAGAAAAACCAAAAACTAGAAAATGTGTATTTTCATAAAAATCAAGCCAAAAATTATATTTTTGACAAAAATGGGTTTGAAATGTTATTTTTTACCACAAACTAGCCATAAATACAAGTTTTGAACAAAAGGGGGACTAAAGTGTTATTTTTACTATGATTGGGCCTTAATTGAAAATTTATGGCTTATCGGGCCGAGAACATCATTTTTACAAAAAAGTGGCATTTTTATATAAATTTTGTAAATAATCGAGCTAAAATAAACAAAACAATAACAAACGGGTTAAAAACGATATTTATATCCTTATTGGGCCTGAAAATAATATACATATTTAGTGGGTCTTAGTGTCATTTTACATGTATATTGGGCTCAGGATAGACATTCATATATTCCTTTTGAGTCTGGAAATAATAGACACGTATAATGGGCCTTAGTGGTCCACGTACATGTTTATTGGGCACGAGAATGAGGTTTATATGTGTTCTTCTTTCTTTTTTCCGTGTAAATTTCGATTAAGGATCTAGTGAGACTTGTCGGTTGACACCACTGAGTGTATGGCCGTAGCCTGTAGTTATAATTAGAGTCTCGTGGAGGGAGAGCGAGAGTTTGTGTATAGATCTATACGGGGATGACACCCCCACACCTGAGTTGTTCGCTACAGTTAGACTATGCCAGTCTAAGGTGACAAAATCTTGAACAAAACCGGCGTTTGGAAAATGACATGATAGGCGAATTAGTTACTATCATGTATGGTTATAACGACTCACTTAGAGGAACTAACGTTATAAGATTTACGGGAAATCATTATGTTTTCATTTTGGATAAAACGGGAAACCTTATTTTTGATAAAACGGTAATCTATACGCACTGATACTCAACCACATGGGTTGAGATTCCAGCATCATATATCACATACAACATCGGGTTGTCTGGAAATCATTCTCTTTTTATTTTTGTAATCATTAACACACATGCATTAATATAAGATCGGACACAAATATTTCAAACCATTTCTTTTTAGAAAATGTTGGATTTTTGAAAGCACTATGAAAACGATTCTAAACAAGTACAAAAACCATTTTTATTCAAAACTGCTTATGAACTCACAAACTTTTTAGTTGACGCTTTTCAAAACGACTTGTATTCTCAGGAATTCCAGTAGCAGGTAATAAGCTTGACTATGAGGTCAAGTGGTGCAACTTCAAGAAATTTTACTTTCTTACTTTTGTGTAACTGATGAGCAAATTCAATATGTAAACTATGTAAGCGTGTATCTTCAATGCATGATGTTTGGATGCTATGTTTAATTCATATTCAATTGTTATGATACTATACAGTTATGTCAACCGCCCCGGATGTTTCCGTCATCCCGGTTCGGGGGTGTGATAACAGACGCCATTTGATTTCTCTCCGCCATAAACTCCATCATCAACCTCCTTCGAACAAACGTTACAGGCGTATAAATCTTCGAACCCATCTCACCAATCAAGCGTCTTAAAAAAAATGCTCGAGAATCAAATCCATAGCCTCTAACGATATCATGTTCACCTTCATCATCATCAAAAAAGCTTTGATTTCCTTTCAACATCTTCTAAAAGCTCTAATATATGTGATTATGATTTTTGGTTTGAATGTAACATCCATGTTTAGTTTCGGTATTTGATTTATGGTTTGAATAAATTTATGGGTTTGATTTATATGTCTAATTTATGGTTTTATTTTTGGGTTTGAAAGACTTTCTAATTACTAAGCTATGGATTTGATTCTATGATTTTTGGGTTTGATTCGAACTAAGGATCAATGGGTTTTTTTATGGTTAATTGATTGGATGTTTTCTAATTAATCGATTGTGTGATTCTTGTTTTATTATGGTTACAAATTAATTGAGGTTTCTTCTGGTAGGAGTAGAGACTGATAATTTACTCACACAAGAGGAAGGAGATCAGGGAGGTGTCAGATAGGGAAGTTAAGGGGTGGTAATTTACTAAATAATTATTTTAGTAGATTAATGATAAAAAAAACCAATAAAAAACAGAAGGGCAATATAGTCTTTGTATATCTAGCAGAGAGTAAGCTTGTAACAAAACCAAACTATAGGAACGGTTAGAACTAAAAAAATAAATTAGAAACTAAACACACAAATTAATCTAAATCATAAGGACGATGCTTGTAATTTACTCTTTTGAATTAATATTATGTATTGACTTTAGGTTGGGTATTTTGAAACTAAAAAAATAAAAGTTATAAACTAAACACACAAATTAACCTAAACCATCTATTTTGAATTAATATTATGTATTGACTTTAGGTTGGGATTTTGCTATTCTTGATATAAAAATCAAGTTTATATTGTCACCGAGTTGGAAGAAGAATTTGCTAGATTTGCCGTCGAATTCGGCTAACGCCGTCAATCGTGTGTTATTGACCAACTCCACGTCTACCTACCCCCTTCCAGCCATCTATCCTCTATATAATAACCTTTCTCCCCACCAGACTCATAACTACAAAATTGCCTGATAAACACCAACACCATTCACCGGCATCGGCCACCAAGAACCACCATGGATCTTCTCCTCCTAGAGAAAGCCCTCATAGCTCTGTTTGCAGCTATTATTGGCGCAATCTTTATCTCTAAGCTACGTGGCAAGAAATTCAAACTTCCTCCGGGACCCATTCCAGTTCCCATTTTTGGTAACTGGCTCCAAGTTGGTGATGATCTCAATCACCGGAACTTAACTGATCTAGCCAAAAAATTCGGTGAGATCTTCCTCCTTCGCATGGGACAGCGCAACCTCGTTGTAGTGTCGTCGCCTGACCTCGCCAAAGAGGTACTCCATACCCAGGGCGTTGAGTTCGGGTCTCGAACACGAAACGTCGTGTTCGATATATTCACCGGAAAAGGGCAGGACATGGTGTTTACAGTCTACGGCGAGCACTGGCGCAAGATGCGACGGATCATGACGGTGCCGTTCTTCACCAACAAAGTGGTGCAGCAGTACAGGCACGGATGGGAGGCTGAGGCGGCTGCGGTTGTGGAGGATGTGAAGAAGAATCCAGCGTCTGCGACGGAAGGTATTGTGATCAGGAGACGGCTACAGCTCATGATGTACAACAACATGTTTAGAATCATGTTCGATAGGAGATTCGAAAGCGAAGATGATCCGTTGTTTTTGAAGCTGAAAGCATTGAATGGTGAGAGGAGTCGATTGGCACAGAGCTTCGAGTATAACTATGGCGATTTCATCCCTATTTTGAGGCCGTTTTTGAGAAGCTATTTGAAATTGTGTAAGGAAGTGAAAGAGAAAAGGCTTCAGCTCTTCAAGGACTACTTTGTTGATGAAAGGAAGTAAGTATTTCTTCTTCTTCGACTCTAATTGCTTCGTGATTTGGTCACTTTCAGAATTCAAGAACCCACATGACACATCTTTGATGGAATTTAATATTACAGATTCAAACACTCAATGATTCCATTTCGAGAGATTTGATATTCAATTCTTTTCAAACACTGATTCTAAATTTCTAATCCAAACTAGCATGATTCAATTACGGATCCTTTGATTATTAATTGCTTGTGGCATAGATTCTGTCATCTAGACTCGTGGAGCTAATTAGTGCTCAATTTTTGTGGGTAATACAGGAAACTTGGAAGCTCGAAGAAATTGGACAACAATCAACTGAAATGCGCCATTGATCACATTCTTGAAGCTAAGGACAAGGGAGAGATTAACGAAGACAATGTTCTTTACATTGTTGAAAACATCAATGTTGCTGGTATGCCTATTTAGTCTCTTAGTCTCTTTCATCACCTGAATGTCATAATTATAAACATTAAACATTAATTTATCGGAAAAACTTTAGTTCAACTTTCTAAAACCTTCTATTAACAGATATCATGGTAAAGAAAAAATATTTCACTACAGTAATATTTCTTTTTTCGAATTAATAACTAAATAAAAGATCGTGGATATATTAAATTATTAATTAGCCCATTTTAAACGACTCTTTTATACTTTTTGTTTTAGTCGACTTTTTTATAATACGAAGTTAACTCGAATCAAATTGTCACTTTTAAAGTGTCCCCATTTACAGAAAGTTTATGGCTTTTATTGACAACTTTTACAGATGCGACATAAATAAACGTCAACATCGGAGTTAATGATACATATATTTTATTTTATTATTACAAGTGGTCTTGTACCGAATACATCTTGAAAGCCGTGTCATATTGAAGTGGATCCAATCTTGGATTCCACCTTCACTATTTCATATTAAAAGTCAAAATCAAAATTCTTCAAAATTCATCTTTAATTTACTTCACCATTTTGTTTATAAAACAGCAATCGAAACAACTCTATGGTCAATCGAATGGGGAATCGCCGAGCTCGTGAACCACCCTGACATTCAGTCAAAGCTCAGGCACGAGCTCGATACGAAACTCGGGCCCGGTGTTCAGATCACCGAGCCTGATGTTCAGAACCTCCCTTACCTCCAAGCAGTCGTCAAAGAAACCCTACGTCTCCGCATGGCGATCCCACTCCTGGTCCCACACATGAACCTCCACGATGCCAAGCTGGCGGGCCATGACATCCCGGCCGAGAGCAAGATCTTGGTCAACGCGTGGTGGCTAGCCAACAACCCTGAGCAATGGAAAAAGCCCGAGGAGTTTAGGCCCGAGAGGTTTTTGGAAGAGGAAGCAAAGGTTGAGGCTAATGGGAATGATTTCAGATACTTGCCTTTTGGAGTTGGGCGTCGGAGTTGTCCTGGGATTATACTGGCGTTACCGATTCTTGGTATTACAATCGGGCGTTTGATACAAAACTTTGAGTTGTTGCCACCACCGGGACAGACTAAGATTGATACGAGTGAGAAAGGGGGACAATTTAGTTTGCATATCTTGAAGCACTCGACTGTCGTTGCTAAGCCAAGGTCCTTTTAATGAATTTTGTTTATGTTTTTTTGTTTTGTTAACCACGTGTTAGAGTGTTGTTGTGTGATGTGGAGATTTTGAATTTGATTTGTATATCGTTTTCTTTACTTTGTACTTGTAATCATGATATACTAATAAGTCGTCACACACACGTTTTTTGTATTCGGGGTTGTCACAAACACTTGAAAAATGAGAAACGTTGATAACAAGGAAATGTGTGAAATGAGTGGGTCGAAGAAAATGGGTTTGACCGGATGATCATGTTACGTATAACAATTGGTACAAGAAAATTCTATAATAACCCGATTTGTTATTATTAAGAGCGCAAAATCATGGTGTTATTATTTTATAAAACCATTTTATGTTATGATCATTAAAGCGTTAACAATAGGAATTTTTTTACTCCAAAAAACTCCTAAAACTTGAAAAGGCTATTTGAAGAGTTTTTTCAAACAAAACTTTTTCAATGAGTTTGTTAATTAATACAGTATGTTTTTGGTATAAGCTTTTCTGAAGATTCAGTAGCTTCCATAGGTTTCAAACAAATTACCACTTAAACAAGAGTCCTTAAATAATTAGTTGAAAAAGCTCGGCTAGTGTGGTTATAAAATGAACTATTTTATTTTAAACTTTTTTCTCATCAAAAAACTTTATTAAAAATCTCTTTTTATTACCAACGTATTTTCATTAATTACTTAAAAAAGCACTATAATATTTTTAGTGAACTAAAACTCTTATATTTTTTGAAGTTCTTATTTAACATTGCTGACATCAGAAAAACATAATCTATTTTTATTAATCTATTAAAAAAAACCATTATATATATATATATATATATATATATATATATATATATATATATATATATGTATTTAAACTTTTATATTTTTTTTTGAAATTTTTTAATCTAATGAATTGTAATAATCAAAACGTTGAAAATCGATTACCTAGCATTTTCGGCTATCTAGGATTACCGAGCTCAATGCCTTAAATAATATATTTTAAAAAAATATAAAAACTTTAACGTACAAAAAGAAAATATAATAACATTTTTTAAAGACTTTTATACAAAATATATTGCTTTTATAAGATTTTCCTTTAGATGCTCTCTTACCTAGAATATTTTAGAAAAAAGTCAACTCTTGTCCTCCTATAAATTAAAAACCCAAATGAATTTATTTTAAAGTAAATTACACAAAATCCTATGCGTTGAAAATGAAAACCATTATGAATTTATTTAGATTAAATTATACAAATGGTTCTTATGGTTTGAAATAATTTGTATATTTGGTTTCCAATTTATTTTTTAACTTTGAAGATTCTTAAAGTTTGTTTTGTTACGCGTTTGGTCCATGTTTTATCTAAAAAAACTATTTGCTGTTGATTTTTTAATTTATTTAAATAAGATGAGGTAAGTACGGTAAGGTAAGGTGAAGTGAAAGTGGGGATGGATGAGTGTTTATTTCAATAAATTAAAAAATCAAGGACAAAATAATCTTTTTAGGTAAGACAGAGACCAAACGTGCATCAAAAACAAATAGTATGCACCTTCCAAGTAGGAGTGCAAACGAGCCGAACCGAGCCCGAGCTTGGTCAGGCTCGGTTCGGGCTCGTTTAAGTTATATGAGGCTCGAGCGCGAGCTCGACTCGTTCGAGCTTTCTTATACTGAGCTCGGCTCGAGCTCGTAAAGAATTATACAAGCTCGGCTCGGGCTCGGGCTCGACTCGTTTTTTATCTGATGTGTCTAAATAAGCTTAAGCTCCGCTCGAGCTCGTTAAGAAGCTCGTTTACTAATACCCTAAATTCATAATTCCCCTAATATGTTTCTATTTTAATATATATATATATATATATATATATATATATATATATATATATATATATATATATATATATTAAATTAGATTATATAAAGGTTCGTTTAGGCTCGGGAGCCTAATCGAGCTTAATGACATAGGCTTGAGCTCGAACTCGTTTAATAAAAGATCTTAATATTATTTATTATTTTTTATTTACTTTTCCAACGGTAGATTAGTTTCTGGACACATGTACGTATTTGGGATTTTACCGTCTCTATTACCCAATAAGAAGTTGATTGGTGACGGCTGACTCTTAACATGATATCCCACCGCTCATAACCCTATATCCGTTGATCAATGTCTCTACCGGTTACTTCCTTTTCCTCCTCCTCCACCTTCTCTCTTCTATCGTCTTTGGTCGATTTGATTTCCATCCAAAGATATATCCATGACCGCTTCTTGGAGCTCCCTCTTTCACAGGAGAATCGTCGGCATCGACCTCTGCTACCGTCATCACAGGTAATCGCTGGAACCCCAAAACTTGCAACCCAACTACCGTCATCACAGTTAGCATTTCCATTAGCCTGCTCTTCCTCTACATGTTCTTCATCTTTTACGTAGATTTCTAATTATATGTTCTTCCGTCTTCTCGCGTAATTAGCCTGCGATCTTGAAGAATGTTGTGATTAAATAATAATTACGCAAATATTAGGTGGATATAACTCCAATTTCTACTTTTCAATTTGATTTTTTGGATTGGTATATAAAGTTATAGGGTTCGTGAGCCGATGACGACCTAGCTAGGTTCAGGGGAGACGTCGTTGTTTCAAGGACACATGGTTTGATCTATCTTTGTCATTTTGATTAGGTCCCAAAGCTCTTCCATGTTTCCAGATTTGAGGTTCGATCTATCTTGCCGTGAATCAAACCCAAAACCTTTTTAAATAACTTTATTGTAATTTAAATATCTTTATTATGTTTCAGATTGATGAAGAAATTGAAGGTTTGGGGAGAATTTTTTTCAGACCTAAAGGAGAAAACTGCAAATGTAAACAAAATCGGGAACCCTATCAATGTTGGATCTTACTCCTTGCTAAGACCACTCTTGGCTTAGTTTCAAGTTGCTCACAAAAACAGATCCCATAGAAAAACATCATGATTTATGACACAGGTTGTGTACCCAAGCGCTTAGAAAAACAAGTATTTATGTCAATATAATCAAGAACTGTTTAATTCATGGTTTTGATTCTTACCTTTCTATTATGTTGCAGAATTATAAAGCTCTTTTTGGATTAGTTATACAAGTCCGTTCATTCATCCCACCAACTATTAAAAAGCGGAGAATCAAAATACATATGGAACAACAATTGGAGAGCATGAGCAGTTTGTAGAGCTACTCCACTTTCTCCTATCACTACCACTCAATTCATGACCAACAAAGTTTATTTGAGTAATGGATTTCAAAATTAAACAATCTTACTGAAATAAATGTCATTTAAATTGTATTGGAGATTGTTGAAATCAAAAACTTAGAAGTGGCTTATAAGAAAAAAGTTGGGGTCTTTTCAAGTAAGGCACAACCTGATGGAATCTTTGAGAGTAAAAAGAAAGTTAATATCAAGTTTGAATTTGGGAAAAAAGAGGTTTCTACATCCAGGTGTGAGCCTATTGGATCTCTTTTCTTTAAACCTATTCCTAAATTACTATCATCCAAATCACGTGAAACTCTCGGTTAGCGTTTAATGTTTCTGGAAGACATTTTTACCCCTACCTTTAAATTGCTTATATATGTGTGCAAATAAAGTAAGGAAAGTATGTTACTATTTCTTGCAGGCTGTTGTAGGTATTGCTGCATCCGACAAACATTTTGGCATATGAAGGTGGTATTCAAATACTTGAGCATCAGTATGTTGTTGGACGTCTTGCCATCTTTTCTTTTTGGTTTATCATTGCAATTCATTACTTGTTTTCTTTCTTTATGATCTGTCATAATGTGCATAAATGGATTGTGCTAATATATGTTGCATGTATCTTTTAATCTGCAGACTGCTGATTGCATATCAAGGTGGGTTGACAATTTTATGAGTTGTGGGTGTGATCAATTTTCTATATATGGGTTTTATTTTTCAAATTAATAAAAAAAATATATTTTGTATTCATTTTTACACAAGGTATTGACAACATCACATTATCCAAGTACAATAAAATCTAATTGTCACTTAAACAAATCATTAAAAAAATAAAAAATATAAATAAATAAAAAAAATAAATATAAAAATAAACTCCTAACCCATGCAAAACATGGGTCTCTTCCTTAGTTGACATGATTTTCTTTAAGGGCTTAGAAAACACTATAATTTTATTGCAGTTAGATTTAAGCTAGACTTGTCCCGGAGGTTGGGCAATAAGGACAGCCATCATTAGCCCATCTTTTATTGAGTTCCAAAATTTTTAAGGAATTCATTATATATATATATATATATATATATATATATATATATATATATATATATATATATAAAGACTTTTTTAAAGGCTTTTTTTTTTCTATCATCCCTTACTCAAAATATATTTGAAACGACCATGATCTAAGCTAATGAACTTTATCAATTTTTAGTGGTAATATCTATTTTGCTTCATCGTGTACATATTGTTCATAAATTTCTTTTAACAAAATGTATTGTTGTATCAATAGACCAATTATAAGGAGTCAGATTACACATATATGTGTATTGCTTTGCATGTTTAAAAATATTTCATTTTTAGAGTTGAAAAAACTTATTGAATTTTGAAACATAATAGGTCGCTACGAATATGAAAATTATAATTTTGCTTATAGGACTGTTTCCAATCCAAATTTGGATCAGAGGTGAAATAGAAAAAAAATCTTACCACAAATATGAAAATTTTATATTTCCTTAATGGATCCGTTCCAAACCAAATTTGGGTTAGAAATACAATGGAAAAATAAAAGTTAACCTATAATCAACTTCTTCTAATCATCTTTTTCAGAAAACAATGCAATTTCAACCAATAAAAATATTTCAAACATTAATTAGGGTTGTCTAAATGGTAAAATAAAGTGTTTTTTTAGCCAACCCCAAAATAAAATTCCATGGACCATAATCCAAATTTCATGATTGGCTTCCCTTTGCGTAACAGCTCTTTTTGCTTCGCTTTGAAAACTGTACTGAAATTTTGAAGCAGAATAGACTGAGCTAAACCCATGCAAGGTTGTAGAGCTCACAAATCGGTATCTGTAAATTTGGATTTTGTAACTCACCTCGATATAGGATCGGGTATGGAGTAATCGGCCAACTCAGCGAGTTTTACAACATTGGACCCACGTAAGGGTTGAAAAAATCTTCTATAAGTTGAAGTACACTGAGAAAACATTCGAAAGGTTCAAGATAGACAAATAGAAGTCAATTGGGACTCCATCGGATAATAATTTCAAAGTTAGCTCATAACAATGTCCCTCTAATGTAAAGGAAAAACAAGAAATGAAGGAGTTATGTTAATATATTTGACACTTCATTGTGTCGATATCTCTATCGGCACTTGTTATCGATAATAATGTAAATTTTTTTGTGGGAGTTTAGTAAACTTAATGGTAATATATGTAAATAAAATATTTTTTGTGAAGTAATGATAAATTATTATCAATGTATGGTAATTTCCCCACTTTTTTTTTGTAATAAAGGTTTCTCCTGATTATTAATTCAAGAAACAGTACTCTAAAATTGTAGACGTCCCTTTTTTTGGAAGAACACTCTGCTTTTCGGAACTTCTGGTACCTGATATTCATCAACATATGTCATATGGTTATTTAGAAGCGTAACCAACCCCATACTAGTAATAATGACGCACCAGTTTTTGTCACCTCTCATGAGGACATTTAAAGACTTTAGGTTGCTAGGGATGTACTCCAATCCAAGTGAATGCATATACTCCATCCCTCGTGTAATCGTGTAATCCTTAGGGCAATTTTGCTTCTAGTATCCCAATCTAATGGATTGCTATTAATGTCATTTTCTCCTCATCGGGTATTAATGTAAATTAATAAACAATTAATTAGTTTTAACAAATAAAAGTAAAAACTTTTATTGTGTAAACTTGTCATCAAGATATTACCTTCGAAGTAGTTGTATAGTAGTAGTTTTTGGGTCCTCTAAGTAGTAATGCCTATGAGACTAGTGACGTTCGGGTGCCCAAACTTGGCTCTTTCTATATTCATTACTCGGTCATCGAAGTTTTGTTGAATTGACAATATGTGCTCAAGTTTATTTACCACTATTGTCAATACATGATCTATAACTACCGATACATTAACCCAGTAGAGCATATTCCCATTTGTAACACCCGTTCCTTAGGTACATTTCTTTGTGATTTTTAGAGTCAAATGGTTTGCCAATTCCTCATGGGGGGATGAATCGAGAGAATTTTGAATTAGAACTTTAGATTTTTGTTATCGCTCGGGTTAATGAATAGCCTTTTTCTTGGTGATTAATAGCCAAGGGAATAAAAGAAAGACTTATGACTTGTTGTCTAAATCATAACTTCAAACAGAACCCCATATCATTAAAAAAGCATGAGTCGTTATTAAAACATTATAAAGTTGATGATTCCCACCAAAAATTTGATCATCGGGTTGAAAAATTACTATATCCTATATTCAAAGGAAAGAAATGGATTCAAGTATAATGAGTAGGAATTTAAATCTTACACAATTAATGAAAATATGAATATTAATTCTGGAACGTGCCCGCCTATCTCTAAAAAATGATGGACATTTTTTTATGTATCAAATCATAGATATTTCATTGGTTCATAAAAGTAAGTACCAAAGTAATCAAAGATACCAAAACAAGAAAATGTTGCTAAAAATATAGACAAAAAGAATTATGATTTGCTTGTTCCTGAAAAAAAAAATTATCGTTTAGACGCCGTAGAGAATTAAGAATTCTCATTTCTTTAATTTGAATTTAAAGAATAACAGGATAACCTTTTGCGCCCATATGTTTTAATTTTAGGGTAAAGAGCTTGCTTGTTTTACGGGATCCGACACATGCAGCATAGCGAAAGAGCCTTCCATTCTTTTCGGCGTCATCCTTCCGCATTGGCGGCAAGTAGGGATGAGCAGTTTTTCCCAAATCCCGATCCCGTATCGGTACCGAACCGTACCGAATTTAAAAATATGAGACGGTACTTGGTACTCAAAATACATGAAATTCAGGAATCGGTACCGCCGATATCGGTACTAGTACCAAAAACCAGTACTAGTCCCGGTACCGGTATCGGTGATGTTAATTCGGTTCGGTACTCGGGATTGATTTTTGACCAAATTCGGTTTTCGGAAAATCGGGAACGGTACGGGTCGGTACCAGTTCCGTCCCATGCTCATCCCTAGCAGCGAGTGGAGTTCCACAATCCCATTCATCATTTTTGATCTACATAATCCAAATCCCATAGCACTGGCGACGTCTCCGACATAAATGCAAGGAGGATGTATAGCTTATATAGGATCTTGTGGAACAAGATTTGATTCTGCAAGCGGTTCGGCTGCCTTATGAGTCGGATGATTGCCTCTGCAAAATGTTAGAGGATCTAAGGGGGACCCTAGTTGTCTGAACGAGGCTATTGACCCGTATCTGACAAAAAGGGTAGCCACTTAGTTGAAGGCTATCTTAGAATAGGAAGAAAAAGATTGAAAAAACTGTCAATTATTTTGAGCCATTTCCAAACATAGGTATAACGATTGTTTCCTAATCTAGGTTTCAAATTTGTTTATTAAGAAAAAGCACACACGACCAAACCTATCAAACAAAATCATACCTCACTGGTGAAGAATCCGTATTTGAAATCAACAACCTAAAAACCCAAAAAACATGGGATGACCCAGATGTTGAAATTTCATGGGTAAACTTATGCAAGAAGATTCGACTACCCAGAAGAATGGAAAAGAATCAAGTCAGAATTCCTGATCCCCCCTCCCTTTACGAGCAGAGATTGAAGGCTCCAGTTCCATTGCTACTCTGAAGCTTTTGATCAACAAAAACACAACCCTAACATACGAAAAAAAATGGCGAGATGGTGTCGCAATTTTAGATACCTTCTTATCCTCGTTGTAATCTCTATATTCGCAGCATTCAAGGGTTATTTGGTTGGAGATTGGTTTCAAGATAGGTGTGATGGGTTTCAGTTTTGGGTTTAAAGGATTTGGAAAAAATTTTGGGGGTTCATGAATGGTTTATGGAAAATCAAGAAGAAAAGATTTAGGGTTCGTGAATAAATTCTAGGTTTGTGTATTTATCACTAAAGAAAAAAAAAACGGGTGTTTGTGTATTGAGAGAGAGAGAGATTTTCTTTTATTTTTTTTATATTTTTTTAGTTAGAAAATAATTAAATAACAAAAAGAAAAGCAAAAAACAAATGGAAAAGGGTAAATCCATCATTTTTAGATTTTTTAAACTGTTTTGAATTAAAACCGTAACAAAATGAAAACTTTTGGACTATACGTGCTACTCCAATTCTGTTTGGCGCAAAGTAGGAATTTTGGAAATACCATAAGGACCATTATTGCAATTTTGTCTTTTGTCAAATATATATAAATGAAAACTAATTACTACTTTTTTAGATCACTTTCCCTGATTAACTGACAATAAACCGGACTAAGCGACATCGGCTTTTTATATTCCAAAGGATTCAAATCTGGTACCAAAAGTCCCATGAGCGCGCTCGTCGTTCTGCGCCTCTCGAAGTTCAAAACTAACAGGATCGAGCAATTTGTAGTTCTCTCTAGGTAAGTTCTTTACTATCAATTGACGATCTCTATTTTCGTGGTTTCATCAATTTAGGAACGTTGATATTTGTATATTCATTGGATATTCGATCATCGAGATAAAACATCTAGTTTTGTAACAGAGCTAGTGATTTTGTAAGCATTCTGACATCGGATATGTTTATTAGGTGTGATTTTTATTTAAGTTCTAATTGTTCACAAATTTTTCTGTGCATTTGATATGGACAAAGTCACAAAGTCACATTCTACAAACACTGCGTGTGTCAATAAGATCAATTGACATTGTTGTTGCATGAATTATTTCTTCTTGATGCACTTGAGTTTGATGTTATGTTTACAAAAAACAATGGCTGGTGGACTCTGTAAACTAGAGGAACTTTTATAATTCTTATTCGTGCATGAAATCCAGAATTCCGGATATTTTACCTTTTGCTTCTTAGGATGAGTGACAACGTGATGTGATCGTCCAATTTTGGATTCAGTTGGCAGCTAGGTTTATTCAATTCGGAATAAAAGCTTTGGTTACACTCATCTTTCCCAATTCCTAAGACAGATGACCATTTTTTCCAGTTGTGGAAGGATTTGGTATTATCTTACATCGGATGCAGTAAGATAATAAACTTTGGAAGCTCTAGAAACCAACACATTTCACCATCTTAGACTAGTTACTTACGTATGAATAAGCTTAACTTGATTCCCAGGCGTTCTTGCATGTGAGTATGTCTTATTTTTTTATTTACTTGCATTTGTGCTGTTTCAGTTGTGTTATTTAGGGCCTGCACATTTGGCGATGTTACAATGGATGGGAGGATCAAGGCGGAAAGTCACAACTGTAAGTATCAGCCAACACATCACTTTCCCTTATAATTTTGACATGTCTTCAGTTTGTAAACTGGTTTGCAACTCATGATTCACAACAGATCCATTTTAACCCTTTGATATTTTTTGTTCAACTGTTCTGGACCTCTTATAGTGTATTAGTGCACAGAGTTTCTTAGAGCATCTTATCATGTTATTATGAGCTTCAGTTTCATCTCGATTTTTTTTATTGTAAGCTTGTTCGCAAGACTTTACCCGCACTAGCATGTTTTTAGACTTTTAGGTAATGAAACATCATTAATTTATGATACGCCCACACATCTAAGGCTTCCTATCTTGTGGCATGCTTAAACAGTTTTTATATGCAACTTATTGCTTTTGGTGGCTGGACAAAGGTATTACATCCAAGGTGACTACTAGCCATATATTGATTTGGGAGATAGTAGAGATTTAGGCATCCAAAGATGTTAAAAAATCATAATGACTTTGTCTGTGAACATATTGTTGGTTTAATCAAGATTATGTAAAAAATGTCCAAAGTACAACCATTGCCTCCGAATAGATTAATACGAAACTATGACTATACAAATAAGGACATGTGTGTGAGTGTGTGCCTATATGTGGTATATATCAAAGCCAACAATAAGTTTATGACAAATACAGAGCTGGATATTAGTTGCTGTTGCAATAGCTTTGATCCTTCAACATACTGATAATCATTTAGACTGCATCAAAATTTTGTTAGTAATATAGGGTGTATAATATGGTTGCATAACTTAAATTGGCATAGTATGCTTCTGATAATGAAGATTGTTCTGGTAAGCTCATGTTTCATTTCTATTGCTTACACTGAAAATCTTTTCTTGTTTCCTGAAATGTCCTGTTTGTGCTTAAATGAGGAAATTTTCAGTCAAGAAAGTCAACACAAAAGAGGTATGTTATGTCTTCCATTTGATTCTATAACAAGCTGGATGTCCTCAGAAGATATTGTGGGAAAGAATTATCAAGTAATATATTTTGTTGGTTCTTACCCTCAACCTACCAGGCAAAAACAATATTTTGAACAAAGAAAACGGCAACAGCAACAGCAAAATTCAAATGGCCTGGAGAGCTATTCTGATAAAAAGGCTCCATGCACACAATGTCCTGAAAACAATAGATCACTGGATATTCTCAGTCTGCTAAACTTATCAAAGAATGGCCAGGATTTCACTACCAGATTTCCAGAAGGTACTATTGTTGTGTTGTGGCTTTCTGCTAGTTTGTGCTCTCTTAATTGTTTGCAGCAGCCTTTTGAACTGTTATCCTGTTTCTGTGTCATTTTCCACCAAAATGTGCAACTTAGTGAAAACTGAAAAGCGCTGGACAATTTGATGTCTTTATCGAGATGCCTAGTGGTGCATCATACATCTTCAAGCAAGTTGGTTAAGAATCTTTTTGAAAATTTTAATTCATATTTTGATAAGTCTTATAATAAAAAAATAACATGATGTCGCTAAGCAATCAGCATATTGTGTATTAGTTTGTGAAATATGGAAAGTAAAACAAGACAACACAAAGTGAAAACAAAAGGAAGAAGTGTTCAGCACCTCTAGAACAGCAGAACACTGGTTTTGCATGTATGATATGACTTTTGATGTTGGTAGTGGTTACTAATTGTATTATTTGTTCTTCATGAAAACAAAAGGCAATAATTACAACACTATATATGACAGCAAAATTTATGGGAAGCTCTTTTAAGTTTGGGCATAAAAGTTTTGCTTCAAGTATGTCTTATTGATAAATGAATCTTTATACTGTTTATGACCTTGTAAGCTCAAGGAAGAGGAAGTTCAAATGGTCAACATACAACACAAAACTCTCAAACTGCACTTCAAATGGAAAATGAAAACATCTGTCCATCTGAAGATGTTGAAATCAGAGAAACAAGTACGTATTTCTGAACTATTCCCTACTATCACTCTTCCTTATTTGTAGACATCTCTTTTATTCTACCTGAATCCTCAATTGTGTGAGTTGTATCAGGAAATGTGTCCGATCACGTGGAGGAGGCAGGATGTCAACAGGAGTAAGTGGGATCTTGTACTTCATATTGTCCACCCCTGATATAAAGCCATGTTCAGTTATCATAGACTATTGATAATTTTAGTAAGCTGTATGCATCAGTCTCTTTTGGGGTGGAACAAATACATGGTCTGTACTCTGTAGTATGCTATTATGCTTTCATAGTGTGTATAGTTTACTGTCCATTGTACATTAAAGGTTACTGTTTTGTCTTGTGTATATCTGATGTCTTGATGCTTTTCAGGTTTTTATTTGATTTCTCTTCTAGTAATCATGATGCTCCAAAAGGGAACAATGAGAAAGATCCAATGAAGATGACTACAGACCGCAGTAAGTAGAAAATACTGAAGACATCGTTTCTCTTTTTACCAACTTTTCTTTCTCTTTAAAGTCAATGTCATAGATGGACTTTTAACATTGAGTGGTTATTGCAGCTATTATGTTTTAGACCCTTACCTTATAGAAAGCTCCTATTTTCATCTAATAAGTTTTGGGTTCTGCATTTCCTTGTTCGTCTTCCAGAGTTGTCTGTCGTTGATATGCTTGGTGATGATGGACAAAATAGCAGCTCAAGAGGAAATTTAGTACATGAGAACCATGTTGCATTTTCAGTTGAAGGTACATAATGGATTATGGCTCTGGACCTTAAGTGAGCCAAATGCTTTTGTGAAGCTTGCAATTGTTTAATTGTTTTCATGTTCATTTATGCATCTGAAGTAAGCTCTTTCCCAGCAGGTCTAGGAAAAGTGGAAATGGAAACTCCAGTTCATTCACCGCAACATCCTACAAGGTGTCAATTGGACTCAAAATCTTACTTATTAATAAGTTTCAATATTAAAGTTGAGAAGCAACTGAGAAATAATCATATATTTCATTATTGTTTTGCTTATGATCAAAGGTGAAACATCTGTTTAATCTGCTAAATTTTATAAATGGGGAACTTTAATAAATTGATACGTTACTTGGTTTCTATGAGGGCTTTTTAATTCCTCTTCTCAAATCTGTAGACAATTTTGATGACTCGTTATTCTTCAGTTGCCAATGAAGCTCATGAGTTCTTTTGTGTTACTTTTTCCACATATTTGTCACAGAAAATTCGCCTATGGATTCCCTGGACCTTCCAAAATTTTCAAGGGATCTTACACTTCCAAGAATCTTAATTGCAGTCTAGAGGACCAATTTCCTGAATTGGTAAGAGGTTCTTTATGGTGGCTGATTCCCACCTTTTATTTAGAGTCTCCTTGTTTAGCATCTTGGACTTGACTGGTAATCTTTTTTTTTTCTTCTCTTCTAATTTCACATATTTTACTAATCAATACTTGTAATTCCTGTTATCAATGCAGGATGATATGGCTGTTTGTGGTGACATTTCAACTGATGCCTGTTCTTTAGAACCCCCTCCTTATTTAGGAGAACTACACCGTAACTTGAAGCAGAAAACAATGGTTGATAAGGAATGCTTGTTGCATGATGCTGAAGATTTTTTAAGCAATGATGAATTTTATGATAGCAGGTTTAAATGGCATGGTAGATATCTCTTCACTCTTCCTCTACTACTTTTAGCATTAGGATGTTTAAGGTAACATGTTTCAATATCTTTTTCTGTGTGTGTGTATTGGTAATGACCCATTCTTCAATTCCCTGTTTTTTCCAGAAAAATCTAGCTTCTTGGATGAGAAATTTCTGGAAGATAATTGTACAGTATCATGGAAGAACTGGTCATGTGATTTGGATTATATGAGAAGTAGGAAGTGTGAAAAGTCAGACTTCTCTTTTGAAGGTGGTCATATGCAAAAAAGGAGGTCTATTTTCAACTGATACTTTTTATCTATCAAAGCTTTTCTTTATTCTAGTAAAATTCTTCACCGATGAGTCATATTTGCAGAGCTGGAGTGGACTCAGCAGGCTGCTTCAATGTTTCAGGTAATGATATTTACTAAGGGCATGTCAAATTAACATACTATTTCATCTCTGTGCACCTACCAGAATGCTACTTAGTACTTTTATACCAGAGGTCACCTATGGAAGAAAACTCTCTACCTTTGGGTGAAGGTTTACCACCCCCTTACCCCATTCCTATGGGAATAGGAATATTGTTGTTATGTCATTGTTCCATTAGGCCTTTGTTAAAAGTTGTAAAAATTATTATATCTTTTTCCCTTGCTTCATTTCTACTTCCTCTTGTTAATCAGGGTTATCTTCTCCATATAAGCACCAAATCAATCATCATTATGATTTCATGACATCTGACATGACACGGTATACTTTTTCTTCTAACTTCATATATGATATACTTTTAAACGTTTAACAAATATCAATAATGCCAGTTACCCAACTTAACTACAGGTGTAACTCCCAGTTTAGTGAAACGACCCATTCTTCAGATTGGCCTTCCTTCGCAACACCAGATGCAAGACACGATTTACACTTGTTGAGGTTAACATCTTCTGCACTATGCTTTTCATCTCTCATCTTATATGAATAATCTTTTTAAAAATTAAAACCATAATACTCACATTCACTTTATTATTTTGACCAATTTGTGTACAGCCAAGATTCATTCTTGTCCCATCCAGGTGACGATTTGAAACAATTGCATATTATACCAGTTACCTGATTTTGCTACAACTTGTTGATAACACAGTCATGCTTTTAAATTTAGCATGGCATGAAGGAACAAATAATCCATCATCTAACTTCAGAAGGCATGCAACTGATTCCAGAAGCCCTTTCAGTATGAAAAGTAATACATTTTCCGGGGGATTTGGCATGAAGAGTAATATTAACATGATGTCAGATTTTTCATCTCGAGAAGATGATTGGTTATTTGAAGAAAGACGCAATATTAAGAGTTATGATGGTTCTATCAAGGCATCTGAAACCCCAAACCATTGGACCGAAGAGCCGTTTGATTCAGATTTCAACTTGAAATTTTGCGTTGATGAACATGGTGGCAACTTTTTCTCAGATAAAGTTGCATTCTCCCAACAAGTTAGTCCTGTAAAAGAAGAATATGGACATGATCATCTTTTCAATGAAGAGAAAGATGACTCTAATATACAGATTCAGAAGAGTGTTAGCACACGAGAAAGTGAGTCAGTAACTCTACCAGCTGTCACCAGCACATTTCATCAGCATAAAGAGAATAGTCATGAATGCAATTACTCATCCTCAAAAAATGGCACATCAATAAACAACCTGGAATCTGAAGAATCACAAGTCAAAACTCCAGAAATAGAAATCACCCCAGCTCCAAATGCATTACTATCTCCAGAACCTTCAGAAGGGGGATCATCTTCTGTTGAGATGCCCCATTGTCATGGCTTAAACAAGTTAGTCATTATTCTTATGCTTCTTTTTTATATTTCTTTTCTTTTCTTTTCAAACAAATATAACAAACCATTGTGTCCTAAAATGGCTATATATGGCTTTCCAGATGCCCAGATGCGACACAAACTTCTCTCCAGACCCAAAATGAACATAAAGGTATAGATCCATTTTATGTCATTGTTGTGTTAAATGTTAATTAATTATCTGGTCTTTTATTAAATACAGAAACAGAGGATTCTGGACCAAACAGTTGCAAAGTCATGATGATTGGGAGATATGTTCTTCCACTTCTGTGAGTATCAGTATATATAGATACTGAAGAAAGCATCCAAAGTAGGTATGAATATGAATGATACTTCTCAATTCGCATGCAACTGAGGCTAATAAAATTCATAAAATACAACATAACTTTAGCTAAGCTAGTCCAATATGTTGCTATTACACATTGCTAGTAGCTTTTGAAATGACAGGAGCAGGACAAATTTAAACCAAGTATATCCAACACAATGTTAGCATAGATAGAAACTTTCAACCATTAGTGCCCATAGATACACATTAACTACAAATATTTTTCTCCAAGAGAAGAAACACAAGTTTAGTTACTCATTTTAGGCCCCAATGCAAAGCCTTCCCTTTATTGATCGCCTGAACTGCATGTGACATCTTAACTTCTTAACATCAGACTGTTTGAGGGGTTTAAGGATGAACTCTTGAGCACCTTCTTCCAAACACCTAATTCAAAACAGAAATGTCAAGCACATCCATACATCATAACCAAAATTTTAATTCATAATAAAGATCGATCAATGGTGGTTACTTCTCGATTCGAGTGGGGACATTCTCTGATGAGACTACAATCACCGGGATCTCTTTTATATCAGATGATTCCTGTTACAAAAATTAAGGTTTAATGTTACAAAAAAAAAAGCACTACTAGCTACTTATATAACAATGTTACAGAATGTTAATGTTATATTACCTTAACCTTTCTAAGGAGATCGTATCCTGTCATTCCTGGCATACAGTAATCCGTAACTACTAAATTTATCTTAGGTCCCTGCTTTTAATATCCATTTACCAAAAAATAAAAAATAAATCATTAATTTGGTAGGTGTGTTACGACAATGCATGTTATGAGAAATGTAAATTTAAGAATTGTGTCCATTAAGTAGTACTACAGTAACTTACTTTGTTCATATGAGTGTGTTCGTCTTCTCCTTGGCCTAAAAGCTCCAACGCCTTCTGCCCACTTTCTGCTGTAGTCACTGCCACATTGACAAAATGACTAGTAAATTCCTTGTAAGGCTTTCTTGATTTACACCTTTATTTTGTTTTTAAATAATATGGATGATGGATAGCAGATAACTTTTTTTTTTCTTTCGTAAGTGTTCAACCTTAAAAGATGTGAAGTCGGAATACTAGGTAGGTATGCGGTGATTCTCATGGACTCATATTCTACTTTCACAAAAAAGATCTCAAACATAAGCTTATCGTGTCCCCCAAAAACAGTTCATTTATTTTTAAATGCTACTTATTTCTGATGGACTAAATGTCAATAGCAACATATTTTTATTTATTTGTGTATAGTAATAGTAATATGCTATTTTTATTTCTTATGTTGGTAAAGGAGGGCTGCAAACATTGTGCTTATAATTTATGCTCTTATAAATCTGTATTTGGTAGAATATATGAAAATATAAGATTGTTAATTTCTTTTATTAGGCTTGGTTATATCCTTGTAAACTTTCATTATCATGTGTATATCCTTCTAAAACTTTAAATTATATGTATATCCTTATAAAACCTATATATATATATATATATATATATATATATATATATATATATATATATATATATATATATATATATATATTATTAAAAAATAAAAACACTATCTTTAAATTGATTTTTTATTATTAAAATAATAATTAACTTGTAATATTATAATATTACCATTCTTCCACATTGTTATTCTCAGCCTATTTACTTTATGAATCCTTATAAAATATTGACATCCATATTGAAATTAGTGTTTTTTTGGTCATTTACTTGTAATTATAACTAAAGAACCAAAGAATTAACAAAATTGTTTAGAAGAAAATAATTGGAGGCCTTGTAAATTGATTGTAAGAAATGAACTATATTGTTTAACAATGGATTAGGAATATACAATCAATGGATTTTGCTAATCGATTATGTAAAATATGAAATGATAGAATCATTTGTGGATAACTATATTGTGAATAAGATCGATTATGGGAAGAATTGCAATTATGTATTTTAGTAATTTAATTTAAAAATATTGTTTTTAGTTTATATATATATATATATATATATATATATATATATATATATATATATATATATATATATATATGTGTGTGTGTGTGTGTGAGAGTGAGTGAATTTATAGCTTTTATAAGGATACATATGTAACTTGAAATTTTACAAGGGTGTAGACTTAATTATGAAAGTTTATAAGGATATGGATGAATCTTTTTAAAAAAAGAAAATATATGTTACAATAAACAAATTGATAAAAAAAAATGATATGTTTAATCCAATTTTAATTATTAAAAGGACTAATACAGTAAACATGATTCATAAATCTTGGGTATGTATTTTGGGTTGTGGCATATAGCTAAGGCTGAAATGTGTTAGTTTTGCTAATGAAAATTTGGTGTTATATAGACGCCATATAAGCTTTTATCATCATTGTCAATATTTGTCTATAAATAATATAGGTGTTGTTTGTTTTCGAAGTGATTAAATGTCTTGTTTTTTTTTTCAAGTTTGCGAAAGAACACGTGTACTTGTGAAACGTCTACCCGCTAGAAAGGAAAAATGTTCAAAAAATACTTTTGTAGAAAAACACGGGGCCATAGTGTTATTGTTATCTAACAATACAAAGAAAAATGTTAAATGAAAGTATCAGTTAAATATGTTTATTCGTATCTCCCTTATTGGTTAGCAAGTATTACAAATGAAAACTCATTTGACATGTACACCTTTCAAAATTATCGATGGCAACAAAAACTCTAAAGAGACGGCAATTACCGGCGGCAATACATGCTATGTCATGTTACCGGTGGTGATTGCCACACCGTGCAGCTCAACCATATATATACAGGTGTGGGCGTGTGGCAATACCTTTTAAAAAAATGAAAAAAATGTGTATAATAGATATATTTTGTTTTTTAGAATGAGCAAATAAATATAATATATAAAAAGGGGTTTTCTATAAGCACCTTCTATATTTTCCGATCCCACCCTGATTTGATTTTTTGTCTTTTGTTTTGTTTTGTTTTGTTTTTTAATTCATTTTTTAATTATTATTATTATTATTATTATTATTATTATTATTGTTAAAAATTTCGCACAAAATTTTAACATTTGGACGACATTATAAATTCGAATGGCTATATAAAATCGGATTTAAATATTTTTTATATTTTAATATTAATATCATTATTGTTATTATTATTATAAATTTCGAACAAAACTTTATAAATCAGACATTATAAATTCGAACGACTATATAAAATCAAAACAAAAACAAAGTTTATCCCTATTAACTACAAATATTAATTGGTACGGTATTATAATTGTGTAGTGCGTTATGCAAATTGAAAACATTTGATCGACCACTATACAATGTTTTCCATGCAAACGAATGTTCTGATCCGTAAATAATAGGAACAAGCTTTGCTTTTGTTCCGATTTTATATAAGTATTCGAATTTATAAAGTCCGATTTATAAAATGTTATTCGAAATTTATAACAATAATAACAATAATAATATTAAAATATAAAAAATATTTAAAAACCGATTTTATATAACCGTTCAAATTTATAATGTCGTCCGATTGTTAAATTTTTTTGCTAAATTTATAATAATAATAATAATAATAATAATTTGTGTTAAAAAAATGATATCAAATCAAATATCAAAAATTTGATTTGATTGATTTTAGGGTAAATATAGATAATGGATACTTATAGGGGTTTATATAAGTATCCCTTTCATTTTTCAATTTCACTCCCTCTGATTTGATTTTTTTTGTTTTTTGTTATTTTTTTTTGTTTTTAATTTATTATTATTATTATTATTATTTTAATATTAATATTAATAATAATATTGTTATTATTATCATAAATTTGGAACAAAATATTATAATTCGGACGGCGTTATAAAAATCGAACGGCTATATAAAATCGGTTTTTAATCATTTTTTATTTTATATACCATCAGGTGGTATTCGATAGAAAGACGTGATCTAAAAGAAAGATATTTGTGAAAGTCCAAAGATTTTGGAAGTAATCAATTTATGAGGTTGAAGTTTAAGAACCTTAGGCAATTATAATGTAAATATGATACAAACCGATATAATATTATGGAGTTAGATACCTAAACTTATATAAGGTTGTTAGGTATATTCACTTTACCTATATATATATATATATATATATATATATATATATATATATATATATATATATATATATATATAATGTCAAATCAAATGTTAAAAAAACACAAAAAAAAAATAATGAAAAATTAAAATCAAATGTCAAAAAAATTGATTAGATTGAATTTACAAGGGATAAATTTGATTAGAGGGAAGGTTTTCTATAAATATCAGCACCCTTTTCCAATTTCACCCCTCCCTTAGCCGACCCTACGTATATAAGAAATGTGTTATAATAGATGCGAGCCTTTGACCCTCAAACAGAGTCCAGATATGATGGATGAGGCTAAGCTTAGCTTTTGGATACCCGTAGGCTAGGAGGTCAGAGTTCAAGAATCTTCTCCTGTACTTTTTTAAAAGAATACCAAATTGAATCTTGCTGTTACAATATTAACGTACACCTATTAACTTATCAAATAATAAAATAAATACGACAGTAAAAATTAACCTCAACTACATCTACATAGCGTATTATTTAAATTCTAACCAATGACATGTTAGACTCTCATGAAAAAAATACATGCTATATTCTTCCAAAACAAAGGTGTAAAACATGATTTGAAAGCGGCCATTGTCCTATTAACGAAAGGTACATAGGAAGAAATTTGGTGGTCGATGCCAGATGGTACTATCTATGGTAAAGCCAGGTCTTTCCTTCCACTTTTGTCACTTTTCGTATATTACAAATCTTCCCAATTCTTTTCATACTAACTGTGTGGCTCTACAATCAAAACCGTACCTTTTTAAATAATTAATGTGCATTTTAAATATTTTATGCTTAAATAATGAGCTTTATTTACAGAGAATTTGAAGTTATCATCCCCCCAAGGAGGGTGGGGCCTACTTTTTAGCTTCTGAATGGATAAGATTTGTGTGTTTTCCTAGTTCCTACCCTTTCCAGCCTGGATCTATCTATATACCAAAACAAAATATAACTATGTACATTTTAAGTTTAGGTGGTTTTTCGTTACTTTATGGCTACATAATACATTATTCGTGTAGTTATTTAGTATTTTTTTTTTTTTAAAAAAAAACTGCTACATCCCTCTAACACCGTTTGTAAGGTAAGAATGAGAACCATTTTGCCAAAACACGTTACAACTTATTCAAGATGAGCATACGATAAATGACGGTAATGACGGATATATAATAAAAGCTACAAATAATCTTCTGTGATTTAAGAAAATATATTCTTTTAGAGGTAAATTAGAGAGATGCGATGTTAACATATAGATTAATTGTAGATTTGTAGTATATATATCATAAAATAAATGCCTAGATGGGACAATCTACTTAATCATTTTATATTACTATTGAGACGATATTTTGGTTTTTTTTTTAATGTTTGTATTTTCTAATACTTCAAACAAACAAAATCAAAATATTTAGCTAAAAATAAAACATAATCAACAAAATGTATATAATCTCTTAAATAGTGTTTTTTATACAATATTTGTTTACAATCCAAGTATCCCAATAGAGCGGATGAAATATATATGGATAAACTCAACTTATTTTGGGCCAAAATTTGATAATTTTCAATTAGTCAAGTAACTTGCATGGATACATTATTTAAAAAAAAAAAAAAAAAAAAAAAAAAAGTTATTGAGTTTAAGGGTTGGATTGGATCGGATCCAATTCTTAAATAAAAATTTATAAAATTGTTAAGGTGAAGAGTAGTAGGTCAAATTCAATATAATAATACTAATAACCATGTGAGTACTAAAACCTCAGATCTAATCCAATGTACCTAGTGGTTAAATGAAAAAAAACTCAAAATATTATATACAAAATGACAGCAAATACAATATAATACCTTTACATGCAGAGTTGGTAAAAAGCTTTTCCATGATTTTACGATCAATCAAGCTATCATCCACAACCAAAACATGTGGCCTTTCTTCTTCTTCTTTCATTCCGACTGTTGTTGATGAAGAATCCATGGAGAAATCACACACTCACTGTGTGTTTTTTTTTATGTTTCAGTGTAAAACAATCAAAACCCAGGAAGACAATAAAAGGAGATATGTAGACAGAGAGATAGAATATAAATGCCAAAAGAGGGAAGAAAAGTCAATGTGTGTGTTTTGGTGAAAAGAAAAGAGTGTGTGTGTGTGTGTGAATCGAAGAGAAATGATAAAAGGAGAGAGTGTAGAAGACTAGAGGGAGGGGTGGTGATGAAATCGGGGGACAGATATTTGGAGATCTTTTTGGGTGATTGGGATACGATTACGATTTGCAGAGGAACCTGCACAGAGTCAAACAGAGTAGACACACAGAAACTCACATCAGAGGTGTTGTTACCAAAATACATTTTGATTCGATACCCCTACTATACTTATTTCCTCAAGTATTGTACGTTGTGAAAAGGTCGTCTGTCTCCGTATTCTGGAAATCAATAAATTTGCTTGGTCCCTGTAAAATAATAGGCACACACCACACTCAAACATAGCTACAAGCATGTCTAATATATATATAACCTATTTTAATTTAATACGTAAATCTTGCAAAGTTTAGTGTACGTTTGAGTCTTATGGGTTTTATTTATCATATTTGATCGTTGATCACGTAGGATAGGCTCCACAATAAAGATACGGTATACCTTCAAACATAAAAAAAAGACAAAATTACATAAATGGTCCTCATGGTTGATAAAATCGACCAATCATGGTCCTTATAACGAATTCTTTACACATATGGTCCCTGCGGTTTCAAAAACTTGCAAACACGGTTCTTTTGACTAACGGTGTTAACTTTTTCAGTTAAGTCCTATGTGAAATGACATATTTGCCCTTCATGCATAAGGACGCTTTATGTAACATATTTCTACCATAGGGACCATTTATGTAATTTTCTCTTTTATTTATTTTAATTATATATTTAAGTATATAGATTTGTTTAAATTTACTGTTTAATATATATATATATATATGCTAAGATTTTTTAATGATTTGCTCAAATTATTTTTTCTAATCATTATGACATTTTCTTCAAGTAAATTTATTAATGTTTTTTATTTTGACGTTTTATTCGAATATTATTTATTTATTTATTAGTATGTTTATATTTGTTAAAGGATTTCACGACTATTGTAATTATAATTTGTAACTTAATTCACTTTCAATTATGTTTTCATTTTTTTTCTTTTATCAGGTTATATAATTATTATTTTTTTAATTCAAATATTTAACTATATAAGGTTGTATAATTATTATTTTTGTAAACTAATTTATTAACATTTTTTATAAAAAAGTGTAATATGTTTGTTAAACGTGAATATCATTAATACAGATTTGATAAACATAGGCTACGCTGAGACCGTCTCATAACGTTGCCGAGAACGACCGGGTTATTTCACATTGGATTTAATTGTAATTATTTCGAGTTATTTTTTTTTAGCAGTGTTGTAAAAAATTACAACTAGGTCCCGATTAATCTCAGATTAATCCCTAAGCGCAACCAGACCGTTTAGAGGCCCTTGCATTGTGATTTTTTACAACACTGCTAAAAAGAAAAAATATCGAAATAATTAGATTTAAATCCAATGTAAAATGACCTGGTCGTTCTCAACAATGTGTGAGACGGTTTCAGCTTTGCATATGTCTACCTAATCTATATTAATCATATTCACGTTTAACAAACATTTTAAACTTTTTTTATAAAAAAAATGTTAATACATTAGTTTACAAAAAGAATAATTATACAACCTTATATAGTTGAAAAATATATTCGAACATAACGTCAAATAAATAAATAAATAATATTCGAATAAAACGTCAAAATAAAAAACATTAATAAATTTACTTGAAGAAAATGTCAAAAAGATTAGAAAAAATAATTTGAGCAAAACGTTAAAAAATGTTATCATATATATATATATATATATATATATATATATATATATATATATATATATATATATATATAAACAATAAATTTAAACAAATCTAAATCGTTAAATATATAATTAAAATATAATAAATAATAAAGAAAATTACATAAATGGTCCCTGTGGTAGAAACATATTACATAAAGCGTCCTTATGCATGAAGGGCAAATATGTTATTTCACATAGGACTTAACTGAAAAAGTTAACGTCGTTAGTCAAAATGACCGTCTTTGCAAGATTTTGAAACCACAGGGACCATCTGTGTAAAGAATTCGTCATAAGAACCATAATTGGTCGATTTTGTCAACCATGAGGACCGTCTATGTAATTTTGTCATAAAAAAATTAGAATGATGTTGCATATCCTCTTTGTAACAACTACTGTTAAAAAGGAAGACAGTGAAAAACCTATGTTTGTTTTTTAACTACTAACACACTTTTAAATTTTACTTTTATTTATTTTTATTTATTTTTTATTTTTTTTATTTTTTTTTTGTACATCAGGAGACTTGAATTAGGAAACCTAGTTCCTGAATAATAGGATGAAAGGCATTTCCAGTTATTTTATGATTTAAAATTATTTCCAATTCATAATTATATTAGTTTTAAGCTCTAATTAAATTTCATTTTCAATGGTTAATTCTACAATAGTTTTTTTTAGAAGTTTAGCTAAATGATCTCAATTTAGAAGTTTAGACTTTATGTAGAGATTACAATAAAGTCTTTACATATTGGCCTCATAATCGATTTAGCCTTTATATATTTTTTTTATTCAATTAAGTCCCAAATACCGGTAATCGTATTCAATTTAACCCTTTCATCCGGTCAACAGGTCATCCAACTTTCAAAAATTATATTTTCGGCCCAAATTTCAAAATTTATTACAAATTTGGTCCAAGTTTTACAATTTTGGCCCAGATTTTAAATTTTTTTTGTAAATTTGATCTAAAATTTACACTTTTTGCCCAAAAAATAGGTTTGGATTATTTGTGTGATTTCTCTTAAAAAATCAATTAAGAAATTAAAAGTAACCCTAAGTTATACTATTAAATTATAGTTTGTCAAAAACTAGTTACATTATTTTTTGATCCGGTAATCGTATTCAATTTAACCCTTTGATCCGGTCAACAGGTCATCCAACTTTCAAAAATTATATTTTCGGCCCAAATTTCAAAATTTATTACAAATTTGGTCCAAGTTTTACAATTTTGGCCCAGATTTTAAATTTTTTTACAAATTTGATCTAAAATTTACACTTTTTGCCCAAAAAATAGGTTTGGATTATTTGTGTGATTTCTCTTAAAAAATAAATTAAGAAATTAAAAGTAACCCTAAGTTATACTATTAAATTATAGTTTGTCAAAAACTAGTTACACTAAATTAAAAGTATCCCTAAATTATACTATTAATATAGATATTTTAATATGTGTTCTATTTAGTGTGTATTCTTTTTTCTATGAGATTTTAATATAGTTGTTTATATGTATTTTTCAATCTGTTGCATCTTCGTAAATTAAATCATACCTTCGATTACATATATATGACAAAAGGTTTGTAAAGTTGTTCTAATCTCATATATGACAATCCATATTGATTTCATTAAGAGTTGTAACTATCAACGTTTGTAATACTTTTTTACATTTGTTAAATGTCATTTTCTACCAAAAACCTCCTTATCGACAAATGACAATTGCTCCATTCTAGATAGTTATTTTTTGTTATTACAACAAACAAAATTGACACATGAATCCGATTTTACAAAGAAGTTTACATAAAGAAATCCAAAGTGATGATGAACTATATGTATGAACATGAATCCGATTTCATTAAGAGTTATAACTATCAACATGTATTCAGCGAGAAACAAAAAATATGAAATTTTCAATATGTAGCATCTTTTATTATTTAAAATTTTCCTATAAACGTGATTAAAGAACAAATAAATAATATTAAAATGAGTGTAACTAGTTTTTGACAAACTATAACTTAATAGTATAATTTAGGGTTACTTTTAATTTCTTAATTGATTTTTTAAGAGAAATCATACAAATAATCCAAACCTATTTTTATAATTAGATATTTCATATACAAAAAAGTTTTTATATAGAAAAAATAAGATTTTTATGTGAAAATATGTTTTTTTTTATAAATATAAGTTTTAAAGAAAAAACATATTAGCAACAAACTTTTGAGAAAAAAAGTTGTAAAGAAAACTAAATTATGATGAATTCATAATAAAAATCCTAAAATTTGGGCAAAAATGGTAAATTTTGGACCAAATTTGTAAAAAAAAAATTAAAATCTAGGTCAAAAGTGTAAATTTTTTACCAAATTTGTAATAAATTTTGAAATTTGGGCCGAAAATGTAATTTTTAAAAGTTGAATGACCTGTTGACCGGGTCAAAGGGTTAGATTGAATACGATTACCGGTATTTGGGACTTAATTGAATAATATATATATATATATATATATATATATATATATATATATATATATATATATATATATATATATATATATATATATATATATATATATATATATATATATATATATATATAAGGGCTAAATCGATTATGAGACCAATATGTAGGGACTTTATTGCAGTTTTCCCAAAATTTCATTTAATTAGTTATTTTTAAACACATCATATTTATTAAAATATGATTTGTATTAAACTTTATTATAGTTTATAATATATAAACATTTGTTACATCTATTAGAAATAAATATTATTTAAACAAAAAAAAAGTAATGAGGTAAAATGAAATATTATTAAAGAGAAATGATTGATTAAATGAACACATCTTTAAATATATTGACCACTCAATAATATATTATTGAGTGGTTAATAAAAAAAAAAAAAAAAAAAAAAAAAAAAAAAAAAAAAAAAGCTATCATCTTCCATGGTATTTAAGGATATTAAGCTGTTAAATAAATAGTAAAAACCTATTTTAAAAAAAAAAAGTTACATTGAAGATGCTCTAATGCTAACCTATTTTGAAAATTAATCGCAAAAGCTAGCCAAATTTTCATGGTCCAATATATTTTAGACAAAATTGCAAGAATGGTCCCTGTGGTATATCGAAAATTGGCACTTTGGACCAAACAAGTTTTGACTAGCACTAATGGTCCAAAACGTTTCATTTTGTTGCGAGTTTGGTCCATTTATGTTTGATTTTTTTTATAAAATGACGATTTACCCCCTTCTATTTGTTTTTTGCTTTTCTTTTTTTATTTAATTGTTTTCCTAACTAAAAAATAAAAATAAAATAAAATAAGAGGATCTCTCTCTCTCTCACTCTCTCCCGCCCTCCCTTCTCTCTCTCTCTCTTCTCTCTCTCTCTCTCTCTCTCTCTCTCTCTCTCTCTCTCTCTCTCTCTCTCTCCAGCTAAGAGAACGTCACCACCCTCACTTTTTCCCCCAAGCTTCACTCTCACCGGAAAGATTGAACACCACCGACAGAAAAGATGAATGCCACGAGATCGAAGTTATGGCAGCGAAACCCTAACCCTAAAAG